CTTTCCCTTGCAAAAAAGGTGGTTCCAATCTAATTTCCCTATTTGTGACATCACAAACAGGGACTTTTTTTAAAAACAGACGGCTTCCTTAAAGCTGCTTTAGCGAGTTTACAGAACAAGCTAGGTTTTGAATGCAAACACGGTCACGGAACACTCGCGCCTTCCCTTGGTTATCTTCCCTGAAATGCTTCTGCTAGAACTGGGCACCCACATTTCAAGAGAAAACAAGGTAGTGCTAAACACCAGTCGCTGTTTTTTTTTTTTTACTCCAAACTTCTTTTGTTGTCCGTGACTTCAAATGGTATTTTTCATTTTGGAACTCTGGTAGTTTGTTCTAAAGTTGATGTGGTAGCAGCCGGCTGTTTTTTCTTCTCTGATATTACTGAGCGGAGAACCTCTCGCACCAGTGTGTGAAATTAATGGAGGGCCCAAGCAAGTGCGGCTGTTTGGTGAGACCGACAACCAGATGGTCCAATAGTTGCTTTTGGTCTGAAACGTGTTATTGGCGGAGGTTTTTAGACGAGCGAACTACTTCATTATTAATTTTTTTAATCTCCATAACATTTATTGCTTTAATATGTTAGAACATTGTGAAGAGGCATGAAAAATGTTTTAAGCTAATTTATTTTCCAAATTTGTCGTAAAAGCTTTAAACCAAATACTGACATAAAATGAATGGAGGGATTTTTTTTTCATATTGTGTTTACGGAGGCAGCAGAGACCCATGCACAGCACAAACTGAATAAAATCTAATGAACACTGTAAATTATGGACAACCCTGAGCATTCTCTTCACAAGACTGTCCGACAACGGAAGAGTGTCTTCAGTCAGAGGCTTCTTCAGTTTTGCTGCAACACTGACCGCTACTGGAGATCCTTCCTGCCAACAGCCATTGTAATATACAATAACTCTTTGATGACTTGATTATTATTATTATTCTGAGCTACTACAGCAATCATTTCCCCTCTGGGATTAATAAAGTATTTTTGAATTGAATTGAATTGAAAAGGGAACTAGTGTTTGATTCCAGAGGTTTTCTACAGGATTTTGTGTTAAATTTTGATTTAAAATTTTCTCTGTGAATATTTTGCGCTGCCATGACAAAAAGAATGATTATACTGAAGATTCATGAATTTCAAGAGCTTCTATTGACAATTACATTTAGTTTATGCGAAAAGTCAATATATATACCGGTAGTGCTGAAATATGACTACATTGCATTTCAGCAAAATAAAAAATAAATGTCAGTTTTGTCTGTTATCAAGGGCAACACGATCTCATTAAACAGAATTAAATCATCTCCAGAAAAACACTGACACATGTATGGTAAATTTTCATGTTCATTCACTGGAAAGGTAAAAATGCTTCTTCCCAGCTGAATTTTTACATTTCAAAATAAATGAATAAATAATGTTTGTATTGCTGGCACCACCATTTGTTGTAAAATCCTCATATGGTTTGTCCCTGGGGTTTTCTCCTTTTTTATGTGATGGATAACCTGTTCGATCCCATTGATCATTAGTGAGATGTCAAAAAACATAGAAAATATTATTTTTTTTATGTAACAAAATTTTCTCTATGAAAAAGTGACAATATTTCTTTAAGAAAATTTAAAAAAGAATTGCGATGATGTTTTCCTTTTACACAAATGTGGTTTTATTCTGTTTTGGCCCGAAAGAAGACACATTTGTTTCCAAGCTTCCTCACAGGCACTGAGCTTCATCCATTCATCTCTGAATGTCACCTTTCTCAAATACATTCCAGTTGCTCTTGCCTTACTCATTTATTTGGACTTCTTTATTATATTCAAATTCATATCAGGCACAAGTATCAGAAAATAAAGAAGACTAAAGAGTAAGAAGCTGGAATGTTAAATTAAGCATACCAGCGACCCATATAAGGAGATCACCTTCATGTCCTTCACTTAGAAATCACAGCTTTTTCTCCAGAAACGACTTTATCAGCAAAGTCACATAATGACAGTTTTAATGTTATTATTCAGGTAAGGAAATTCAACTAATAAAATAAAATATCGTTTCAACCAGATACTTAAATATGATCCGCTGGTCAAAAGTTTGAAAAAAGGTTGAAAATAAAATTCTCAGAGGTTTTTCTAAATTCTGAATGTGTCCTCGAAGCATTAAACAGAATTTCAGTAGATGTGGTATAATTTTGAAGCAATTAATACACATTAATTATGACCAATAAGATATAATATTCTAATACAAATATGAAATATGAATCTGATTGATCTTTGAATGTTTAATCAGAAAATTATAGAGTTCTTTGCTTATTCAGGGACCATAAACACACTTCGTATTAATTCAGACAGAGTCAGTATACAGTTTATGAAATTAATTTAATTATATTTCCTAAACTAATGATACATGACAAGATATGAATAAGGAGATGTGGTGTGGTGGATGTGAGGTGTTGTGATGGAAGCTAGATGTTGTAGCAACCGTTCTTTGTATCTGAGAGAAAATGTGAAATCTGGGTGTAAAAGAATTTGTTGTTGGTTCATAACTAGACAGTTGTTTATTTATTAACCTCATCAGACGCCAGTTTGCAGGCTTACGTTACCCTTGTATGAGTTGCTCCCGGCGGTCCGGAGGGTTGCGGTCAGAGTGGTGAGGTCACCGGACGTCGAAACCACAATCCTCAGAGATTAGTAGCTTCCTCGGAGTTCGGCTTCCCCGGCCATGAGATGCAACCCGGGGTCTGCAGGTTAGGTGTCCAAGGTGTGAAGTAGCTCTGAAAGGAGCTGTTGAGTCTGTTATCACTTGCAGCGTCGCAGAAAGTTTTTGACTTAAGGTCAAAGGAGTTCGTTTCAAAAGAGGTTTCTTTCCCGATTTGGATGAATCGTGGTCAGCTGGAAACTGAATTACTTGGGAAGTAATTCTTCTTTTATTAAACTACTTTGTTATGATTTCTGGCCGTTTGGCCAATCAGGATTTGACACATTTCTGAGTATTTACCAACATCCCTCAGAAAGCCACGCCTTCCTTCAGACACAAAGATGTTTTAACCTTAACATGTATCTTATTGTAACGTGTATGAGTGTACACAATCATTAATTGTTAAATCAAACGCATAATGATTTGTGACATAAATGAATCGTTGTAAGAACAATATTCATTTCAAATTCATTGATTTAAGCACAGTCAAATGAGCTTTGAAAGAAAAGCGTCTGGACTTCTTTGAGTTGCTTGAAGACGTTTCACCTCTCATCCGAGAGGCTTCTTCAGTTCTAAGGTCAAATTCCTGAGGTCAGATGGCCCAGGATATGCGTGGGCATTGAGGCATCTGGGAAGGGATCTGACCTCAGGAATTCACATGATAGGGTGGGGCCAGGCTTCACAATGAGCTCACCCGAAACTCTGGCTGAATAGGACCCACACCCACCCTCACACCTTGGCTCATGTGTTTATGTAGAAGATCATCAGGGGGTCTTCTGTTCCCTCTTCGGGGGGAAACTCCCACTGGGTTTAAATCTGGGACTCTCCACCATTTGACCTTAGAACTGAAGAAGCCTCTCGGATGAGAGGTGAAACGTCTTCAAGCAACTCAAAGAAGTCCAGACGCTTTTCTTTCAAAGCTCATTTGACTACAATGACCTGGATGACTGAGAACCTTCACAGACAGATTTAAGCACAGATTATTCAAACATTTCATTTAAACATCTTGTTCATTCATCACATCTGATTATTTAACTTATAACCATAAGATCGTGGAGTCTTCACTTATTCAGAGGGAAGAATGTTGACATCTGGCATTCACACAGTGAGTGCAGGAACCTTGGGTGAGAATGTTTGTTTGAATGTTTTGTCTTCATGGATTGTCAACACGCGCTGAGCAGAATGTTCTGGATTTAGAATGCCACATTATTTCTGTAGATGAAAGGTTATTATGTTGATCAATAAATAGGTGAAAATTGACCCTTTTGGACGTTACAATTTCTACGAGGATCCAAAAATAGATATTACGGTAAGTGAAACACCCAACCCTTGCTCATAAATAAATAGCAATTTTCTCCTCTGATGAAATAAATCCTAAAGACCCATCTAAGACAACACAAGTCTCCAAATCCGACAGCTGTTTGAGTCAGGTTCTCTCGGTTCTAGTAGCGGCACATAAAGAACTGCTGCAAAAAGATTCTATAATGAAAATGAGCCGGGTGCATATGGAGAAGTGTCTCACACGTAAACGCAATGATCAAGGTTAAAGGTCACGGCCACTAATATGATGCATTATGTCAATAACTGAATGGGCAGATACGTTGGTCTGAACCGAGGAGCAGATTCACCCAGCTTCCATTCATCATCACGCCTGAATAACACCAATTAACCGCCGGCAGGCCGTGGTTCAGCTAAATAACTACTGGGCTCAAGTTGGCAGATGGAAAAGCATTAAATGGTGTCCTTGTTCTGAGGAGAGCAGATCCCTGAAGGTGAAGCCTGATTCACGGACAAAAACTCATCTGTTCTGGCAGATGTTTAACAGCCCAAACGGTCATCAGATGATCTATGAACTCATCAGATTTATGGTTATGAAAATGTGACATGATCTTATTCATTTCAAAATAAAGTTTGCTAACTTTAACGAGCAAGTCACCCCCAAATCAACATTTTTTTGCCGATTAACTACATAAATGAGTCTTGCTGTAGACACGTGTAGTCAATAATTTGTCATTTTAGTGCTTTCCAGTTAAATTTGAATATTCTGCCAAATTTATCAGTGTTGCACCATCTTCAGGTAAAAACTCCACACTGCATGTGAATTAAAATCTGCCATCGCTATTGGCTAAGAGGTACCCTAGGACGTCAAGCTGGTACCATATGATGTCACAATGTCATTATGAGCCTGTGTGCTTGTTTGATAGTGGGTTTGCCCTCTCGGTCTGCCAGGCAACAGCATTTGTTGCTTTTTCAAACAGGAAGTGGAAGTGGAGTAAGACTGGTAGGGGTGACTTGCTCTTTAATAAGATGCATGACCAAAACTTCTTTCATTAGTTCTTTAATTCCAAAATTACTAAAGATGTACAAAATTTTAATATACTGACCAGAACTGCACCTATGAGTGTAAAAAAAAAATCATTAAGAGATGTCTGTTTAAAAAAAATCCATACAGATTCTCAAACAGGAAATTTGAGATGTGACAACACTGCCCCCTGCAGGGCAGAAACTGTAAGGCAACATGAGTTTACAGAGCAGGCACAGCAGAGAACCGTCTTCCTTACAGAAAATCAAACCCAAACAAAAAATAACTAATAGGAGCAGGAGAACAAATAATTATTCACATTGTAAAATTAAATCCTCTGAATTCAGAACATGCAGCAGATCAGGAGTCTGCATTTTAAATAAAGTGTCTTGTAAAGTTGTCTAGACATGCGTTCAACTAGTCCAAGCCCTCACATTATGGGCTGAAAGCAGCTCTGGTCTTCTACAGCAGCTCTCTGCATGACATCTCTGAAGAGGATAGAACACCAAACATGGTTTAGTTTCTTTCACAGTTTCCCTACTAACCCGATAAAAAAACAAAATAACCGTAGAAGACACGACACACATAAGCTTGGCCCCCCCACTTCCCTTCCAGGTGTGACGTGAAACAGAGATGGTGGAATGAAACGATAAATAGACATCACTAAACAGCGGCCGAGTCAGCTTCAAAATATGAAAAGAGTGAAGAAAAACAGACATTAAGTCTAGTTGAACAGATTTGGTCGGCATTAGTGTGAAGAATTACTCTAGTTAAGTCTTGTTTAAGTTGTGGCTTAGTGTGGAATTCTTATGAGTTTGGTCAGATGGACACCGACTGCTGAGACACCTTCAGTAATTACAGACCTCAGCTAACAATGACTAGAGGAAAATATACTTCTGACTTCGATTTAGTAAAAATTTAACTTCATCAAAACAGCTACAGTTACTTTAAAATCTTCTTAATAGCCTAATAATTACAGTGTTTTTGATTTAGTCATTTTAATTATAACATGAAGAGAGGAAAAAAGGATTTAGAGCTCATCAATCATGTAGCTTCAGCTTCTGAGATGGAGGTAGAGACAAAGGAGAAGCTCAAAACAGGCGTTGATAAACTGTTCCGTGTTCTTTCTTCCTTCTTTCCTTGTAAAGGAAGAGGACCGGGATAACGAAGGAGCAGCGAGGCCGGCGGCGACAGAGTCGGCGAGCGGCTCAGGAGATGATGCGAATGCCAAAGTACTTCTTGAGCTGCTCGAGGAAAATAAAGGTGAGCACCGTGTGAGGAATCAGGCGGATCCCTGCTGGAATGAGACCCTGTAAGACACGAGCCATTGCCATCATTTGATCAGACGGTAGACAGAAATAACTGCAGTAAGTAGAGTCAACAACAAAGCTAAAGTCGAGCTAAAACAACAGAAACCATACTATTATCTAAAAATTACATCATGGGAGACCCATCTCACATTTATCAAGACAAATCCTCCAGATTTTTGGAAGTTATTCTTTGGTTTAATGAGACAAATGTGGAACTTTTTGAAAGTTAAGTCTTGTTCTATCTGGAGTAAAACTAAGACTAAAACATTAAACCAACAGTAAAACATGGCAGTGGTAGTGTGATGGTCTGGAGCTAAATGATGCTTCAGGACCAGAACTCAGCTCTAAACTAGAATGTCTGACCTTTGACCTTAAACAGGCCGTTCATGAAAACCATCTAGTGTGGCTGAACTAGAGCAGGGGTCTCATTTATCAAGCTTGCTTACACACCAAACGGGGTCGGAAAACTGCGGAAGCAACTTTTCACCCAAACTTTGGGATTTATGAAAGAAAACTTAGTGGAAAAATGTGTGCAACTTTAAGTTGACTAAGGACCTGGCTTACGCACATTTTGGACATGGAGAGCACCTGCAGTGCTGCTGCTGAGAAGGATAAAACTATGAAGTCCAGCATCATTATCACTTGTACCGCTTCATGTTCACGCAGAACAAGACCCCCCACACTCACAGCCTGAAGCACAGAATACGGAATGCTGAATATCAGCAGGGGGGCAGATTGAGACAGAGTGTGTCCTGTCACTGTGACCCGATTGATCATGCACCCTGGCTACTTGGTCACGGGAGATCTCCGTTTGGCTGATTAGTTAGCGCGCGCGACTTTCACCCAGGAGTCTGGGGATCAGATCCCGATTGGACCATTTTTTTAATTTCCGCCACAAATTTCTCTGAAGAACTCAGCATTGACGGCTTCAGCAACGCTGTGCCACTCTGTGGATTTTCTTTGTTTTGCAAAAGTACTTCCTTTCATTTCTCCACCTCACCCACAACTACCTCAATTTCTGCTTGTGAAATTACGCTTCCTTGATCTGCGGTCGGGATCGAAATGCCGCAACGAGCCGGCTTATGTATATGCATGAGACCCACAAGGCACTTTGCATTGACCATTTATGGCAGAAAGTGGGCGTGTTGAGGGCGGGAGGCGACTAAAAAGCAGCTGAGATCATTAGTCTCTGATTTATGAAGCGGAGATTGCGTCCAGCTGTGCGCACTCCATGTTTGATAGATCACAAATCTACTTGGCGTAAGTACATTTTTTTGCTGAGCTTAAGTACGGTTTTAGTAAGGATTCTACGCAATGTTTGATAAATGAGACCCCTGATCTGTAAATTAGAGTGGGCTAAACTCCTCCATAGCGATGAGACTCAGTACTAGTCACAAACTCTTCTCCACGTGGGACCAGGCTGGTTTTATGAATGAAATCAATAGAAATCTGCATTTTGTATTAATTCAAGTTGTCTTTGATACTTTTTTTCTTAAGTGTAACCTGAGTGTAACAAAAACTAAAATAAGGACCAACAGTTTTTGCTAATTCTGCCATCAGCCTGTTTGCTCAGTAAAACACATCCTATGTAAACGAGGTTCCTGAGTGAAATGTTAGAAAAGTTGCCCCGACGATGCAGCTAACAGTATAACACGAACGATGGGTTTTATACAAAGCTGGTGTTTTCTCTTTTAACTCATTCACTGCCAATGACGACTAAAGCCGTCATTTGCATTTTTTTTACTGTTTGAGCATCAGAACGAGCCCCCGCGCTGAGAGAACAAACACCTCAGCCCTGAAGCCAATCTTCATCCGCATACGTCACAGATCACATGATCAGGAAGCAACACCTCCATGTGTTTGGAGATAGTTTTGGGCCGTTCCTGTAAAAAAAAAAGTGAGGCGCGAACCGGAAAAGCAGCTGCCGATCACAATTCGACAATGGATTCTGAAAGAACGGATAACGCTCTAAACACGCGGATTCTTCCTGATGTAAGAGGTGAGTCTCCTCTTTGTTTTGGTTGTTGTGGCATCGGCATCATGCTAGCGCGCAACGTTCTGTGACTCTTAAAAAAACAGTAAAAACGGTGAGAAACGCTGGCAGCGAAGGCTGTTAGTGATCAGGAAATGGCTGGCAGTGAGTGATTAATTGCCACCAGCGAGTCAATGCATGAGCAGCCATTCATTTTTTCTCTTACCTTGTAAAACGCCAGTGGACCCAACTTAGCAGTGTCCCGTAAGCAATGCATCACCCCCTAAAGAGAGAGAAATAAAATGAGTTCAGATGTCAGCAGATCCAAGCGAACACAAAAATAAAGGAGATCCACTCACAGAGTACTCTCCCTTAGAGTTCATCAGCCTGGTCTTTAGTACATCCAGAGGCTGACACAGGAACGTGGCACAGCCTCCCTGCAGAGGAACAATCACTGAGATCAGTGTGTGTGTGTGTGTGTATCTGGACCTGCACACAGACGGCATCAGATACTTACAGCTATGAAGCTAGAAACAAAGTGTGTGAGCATGTTGTCTCCCATTATACCCGTCCCTAAGACGAGCTGCTTGGCCTGGTCGTAACACGCCAGCTGTGGATGAAAACCAGGCAGATATGAAGCTTTGATCTATAAAGGTTTGGTTCACTCATTTAATAAAATCAATTTGCAGTGGTCTCCAATAGGAAGGAATGCCTTCTAAGTCCTACTCTGGGGAAAAAAGCTCCAGTGGGCCTGTTTCTGGTACTAGAAGTGAGCCAGCTCAGAGCTTCAGATGGCAAGATGTGAAGTCTTATTTCCTGATGTTTGGAAATCTCGCCTCTGATTGGCTAACATCAACGTGACTCTACCACCGACTGTTTGCTCCGCAATGTTGATGTTTTATCACCACTAACACAAGCCTGGAGGAGTTCTGCTGTGTGGTGGAGTTGCTAATGCTAACGGTTAGCTTTTACTAGCCGAGACGTTCTGTGCTGTTTCCTGGACTCTAAACCAACAACAGCCTTCCCCATCGTGAGTCAAGGTGGGTGAGTCCATGCATGTTAAAGTGGGAGTCAAGGCATGAGTGGAGATGTATTTCAACCAGATTTCCTGTTAGCAAAATACCTGGGAAAAAGGCGTTGCCAGGAGGACTGAGAGAGCAGCACTGAGGCAATGACTAGCAGCCCCCCCCGCGTGTGCTCTCAGAGTTTCTCAGTCAGAAAAAAGGTCGTTAAGAAGCGAGCGCACTCGTACGAGCACACAGAAGCAGCAGACTCGGGAGAAGAACAGAAACTGACTGCAAGAAGGAGGATTTTCTGTTCACCTCTGTCATTAAAAAAAAGGGGAGGCGGCCATTTTTCTTAAAGAGGCGAGCGGCTCCGAGCGCCAACGTGTCAGGTGAGTGTTTGAGTCAGGTGGAGGTGTGGCGAGACTCAGCAGCCACGTTGTACTGCACTGACAACGTCACCCTGCAAGCGCTACAGCAATCAGCTGTGGCTGATTCTGAATCAGTGTGGAGCAGTTTTAACCTGAAGATGGAGACATAATTATAGTTTAGGGCTGAAATATTAATTTTTAAGTAAGATGCACTAAACTGCCAAAATAATGATTACACATGTGTTCAGCGCTATTAGAACCTCATCTATGCAGGTTATCAGCAAAAAAAAAAGTTAATTTTGATGTTCCTTGCTCTTTACCCGTCGTTCCGTGAGTAAAATGCCCGACTAGAGGAGGTGGGGCTAATGCTTGGTTTATGCTTGACGCATTCACTTTCCGCTTGGTGATGCGGCTCGCGGATGGAACGCGCTTCACAACTTGCAGCGTTTATGGTTCACGCGGCTCGTCTCTGCGGTGAGCCAATATTCTCCCAAACTGTAGGGGGCAGCATGGAGCTCTACAGCATGCATCCAACACTACACCATAGTAGTAGTAACAATTACTGTTGTTTACAACATGGCATTTCAGCATTTTTAACAGCGTCCTCATCTTTTCCGACAGTGCGAGATATTTCTCTCCAAGAATTATTAACATGTTGATCACGGTGATCTATGAGAGCTGAATCATACAAATGGCTGTATTTACGAACCTCTGCCATAACTAGTTCTTGCCAGTCCGCCATGTTTTTCCGCGTCTGACCGTCCGCGTGGTTAGAAAATTTCCTAGGTGCGCGGTGCGGAAAGCTTGGGCCGTGCGTAGGCGCGGTGGATGGGCGTGGTTGTTAAAATTATGCAATTTTGCCGCGCGGAGCCGAGCGAACCTCGCAGACGCGTCAAGCATAAACCAAGCTTTACATAGTTTTGTCCTCCAAGCTGTGGAATGACCTTCCACTCATGGTCGGACAAGCCCCCCCACCGCCGATTCTTAAGAGTCGGATAAACACACTTTTATACATTGGCGCTCCCTCAGCACATGAGTTACTTTAATTTTAGACAACTTTGCTCGTTTTTATCCGGTTGCACTTTAATAATTTTGTCTTGTTTTATACAGACATTCTTTCCTTTTGTTTTATGTTTTTGTGTATATTTTATTGTTGGCCATGTGGTGTTTAAATTTTTTGTACGTGCGCAGCACTTTGGTTCGCCTCTTGGACAATGGAAAGTGCTACAGAAATAAAGATGATGATGATGATATAAAAGTCTGGCCCCCTCTAGTGTTCATACTGAGATTTACTTGCAGACAAAGGAAAAGAAAATGTTTAAATTTCAGTTTTTTATTTGAGAATGTTCTGAAATATTTAGACTTTAAGACAGAATTGCATTTTAACTGCTGCAGGAGGTTAATAATCTCCTGCAGCAGTTCCTGCAACATGACTTTAGGTGACTCACCTGTCCCACAGTGACCAGCGCTCCTCTGCTGGAGGCCATAGAAGCGCCTGAGAAAAGTTTTCTTACACCTTCTGCATTCAACAAGAAAGATTAAATCTCAAACACGATGTCAGACTAAAGCCCTACAAAGGACACCTGATAAGTGCTTGCTGTTAATTTACCTTCTCTAAAGACTCTGTAGAGCCCATCAATGGCATGTTTATAACTGGTAAAAAAAAAAAGGCACAAATTCAAAATTAGAATTATTTCAAGACATCTTGAGTGAATGCAACAACAACAACACCTACTTTCTTCTCTGTTCTGGTGACAGCTTCATGTCATTCTGCATTCTAGAACAACAAAATTATATTTCAGACGGAATTCAACCATCAGATTATTGTCTAAAAACCGCTGGAAGGTAACTGTAGTCGGGGGTGGATTACCTGACATTCACCAGGTCAGCCGGCGTTCCGACCAACCCTCCGGTGAATCCTGTTGGCAGAGGAAATTCACTGATTTGGAGTCCTTCGTGAACTATGAACAACACACACACACACGTTTTTTTTAATGGGAAAAGAAAAGCGAGCGTGTGTTCCGACCTCCGAAGGCTCCCAGCAGGACCTTCTGGTAGAATGGCATGGGGCCGGTGTTCGTACTACCCATCATGTCCCTCACCGTCTCATAGATGGCAAATCTGGTGAGGGAGTAGGACATCTGCAAGGAGAAGAGAATTAATTTAAACGTGTGCTCATTCTGGGCACAAATGAATAACCTGGATTGTGTTTTCATGTTCATCACATTTGTTTAGAATATTTTTATTTTCTGCTTCATATCAGTGTTTATGGCTCATCTGGTGCCAACGTGCATCCTTTTACAGAACCAGTCGTTTACTGATAAAACCGGTAGGAGCACCTGTAGTATAATCTCCACTGTGTTGGGGTGCGAGGCCCATCTCCGTCTGGTATAAACCAGAAATGGCTCCTCTGGTTCCAAGAACAGACCCGGTTGTGTAACAGGCAATAAGAAAAGGACCTTCAGTTAGCTTCATAAGAGTTTATTAGGTCAATCGCTCCGTGAAAAAGCCAAGTGGAAGCACCTGGGAGTCAGATCAGACTCAGAGACTGGGTCATCTAGTTTTCCTTCCAAACGAGCCAGCTGCAACAATCGAAGTTTTATTTAGAAAACGTTTAATATCGACTTTAAAAGTGAACCTGTTGGCGTGTACATTTGAATTTTCACAGAGCAGAAAGAGAACAATAGTCACCTCCAACCTATCTATAGATTCATTCTCCAGGTGACTAAATTAGAGTTAGATGAACTTGTGGGAACACGTACCTGTCGACACAGAGAAGCGGAGAGGCCATTGTAAAGAGCCAGTACGCCGTCGTTCCTCACCACGTGAACGGCCATCCCCACCATCCTCATCCTCACCTCCTGCTGTGTCTGCAGGTGCACCTGCACACACAGCAGACATTAGTCTGACAGAAACAGCCTCGGTTACAGGAATAATGGTATTAAACTGATTCATTTTAACATTTCAATTGAACTATATTCTCTTTGCAGATGACACCAATATGTATATCACAGGGAAAGACATAGAACAACTACTGAATATCGTTGGAAGTGAACTAGAAATACTAAAAACCTGGTTTGATAGTAACAAATTATCATTAAATCTAAGCAAAACTAAATACATTATATTTGGAAAACCAAAACTAAAGAATCTTCCTAAATTAATAATAAATGGGGTAGAAATAGAAAGAGTAAATTAAATTAAATTCTTGGGTGTCACAATACACCAAAGGCTGAGTTGGAAGCCGCACATAGAAAATGTAAAAACTAGGATGTCTAAAATTATTGCAGTCGTAAATAAATCGAAACACATTCTAAATGGGAAATCCTTATTACTTTTATACCAATCAATAGTACTTCCTCGCATGATGTATTGTCTGGAAGTCCGGGGAAACACTTACAAATCTCATATAGCACCCATAGTTTTTTTTACAGAAGAGGGCAATAAGAGTAATTACAAACTATGATTACCGTGCACCAACACTCCCCCTGTTTATAAAACTAAAAATACTAACATTTACATTTCTGGTCAAACTCCAAACAGCACAAGTAATCTATAAAGTATAAAATAAAATATTTCCGGACTGTATTCAGAAGCTATTCCAGGTCAAAGAAATTCAGTATGATCTAAGGGGGAAGGACAATTTGTGAGAGAGAAAGTAAGAACAAATGTTAGGAGTCAGAGTTGTACTGCAGTAGGAGTCAAATTATGGAATAACTTGGACACTGGAATCAGGGCATGTAACGCTGTTAAATCATTCAAAAAATGTACGTCAGTAAGATGATGTCATACTACCATTAATGACCGTATGTGGTCTAGTGTGTCTGATAGATGTCAATGAAAATGTAATGTTCTTGCACAAGTGATAGTATTCAAATTTCTGTTTTGATCTATATCATACATGGATTTAATAAGATTACTGGTAGTTTTGTATAGTTCGGTCTTTAGTTCTGTGTATTTTTCCTCTTGCTGAATTATGTTTGTTGTTGTTCACTAGATTTCAGTTATGATTAGCATTTTTATTACTTTTATCTTATTTTCATTTTTATTACTATATTACTTTTATCTTTCTTTGTCATTTTTTCTGGATAAGTAATGTGATGAGTAAATCGGGTAGGTATAAAAAGCCAGGCTTCAGCCTACACCTTTTTGGTTACTATAATTGAGATGCTGTTTTATTGTATTCTTTCTTTTTCCTTTAAAATGACCAAAATAAAATTAATTGAAATTGAAATTTATAAGAGGTTTTCCTCCTAAGTGGATTCTTTTTTCATCCTGTTTGTGTCAAATAGTATTAAAACACTACAAAAATAACATTTTCCCTAACATAACAAGGTGTTTATAACAATAGTATACAAGAAGAAACAGATGTATTCCTGCCACTGGAATGTCATGTTCTCTAAATGTTGCACAATGTGTGTGTGTGTGTGTGTGTGTGGTCAGAGGAGCTCAGCAGGTCCACATAGTGACCTTTACCCTCAGCTCTAATCAGGATCATGGAGTAAAAGTCTCTACACAATCTGCTGCTTTGCTACAGAGAGAAAATTTGCTCCGACAGGTGAAAGAACAAAAACATTTTCATCATGTTGTGGATTAAGAATGTAAAAGAGCATCTTGTTGTGGTTAGTTTACCAGTAAAGTTACATTCTCATTACTCAATGACATTTTTCTTTGTTGTTTAGGCGGTTATGCTGCAGTGAGACAGAACAAAGGTCTTTTGAGACGGCACATGAGCAAAAAGGGACAGCAAATGTCATCATGATGAAGCAACTGTTGGCCTATTTCAGAGTAGATGTGGAAGATAAGATAAAGAAAACCTGCTCTAAACACTCCTGTGGCTTCACTAGACAATAACGACTACAGATGGTTCATTTAGGCCAGGGGTGTCCAATCCAGGTCCTGGAGGGCCGGTATCCAGCAGGTTTTGTGGTTTTTCTGCTCCAACAGGCTTGATTCAGTGGTTGAAACACCTGTGCAGCAGCTCATCAGGCTCTGCAGAAGCCTGTTAATTAGCTGCTGATTGAAATCAGGTGTGTTGAAACAGAGTTCAAACTAAAACATGCAGGATACCGGCCCTGCAGGACCAGGATTGGACACCCCTGACTTTGTTGCCTTTTTACTCAGAATAAGTTATTACTTTATTTAGTCTTTCAGTAAATTGTAGCATTTTCACACCTAACACAAATCTGCACCTTCATATTTAAAGATTAACTGAACCCCAAAATCATTTTTTTTCTTCACTTATAAACTGTATAATTGGGTCTTTACAAACAAAATCTGTTTCTGTGCATTTTTTTATATGTTTTGTAAACTTGATTAAATCTAGAATCTAGGTCTAAAACATCTTAGTGCTGCCCCCTGTGGGTTGAACTGTGGCTACTGCATTTTAAATTTGTGATTGGCTGGGGCTGGTACAATTTCACGTCATCGGTACAGTCTCCTCCCACCCACCCTCCCTCCCAGGATGGAAATTCCCCACACTTAGCCATGCCACTCCGCCCACTTTCATAGCATTTTCCAGATCTTGACTGGGGTGGAGTTACGTTCTCTGATGGTGTGCAGTCCTTCTTTAAGATGTAATAAATGTTCAAATAAGCCACATATTACAAAATACATGTTAAGGTTAAAGTAGCAGTTTCTTAAACTTTAAGCTAGAGCTTTAATGTTGATCTCAGTGATTGTTGCGTTAGAAACTTGACCAGTTTCAGATTTGACAGCAACCTGCTGCCTTCTGCTGACCAAAACCCGCACTAGTTTTGTGGAGTGGGTAGGTGTTCTAGGGGGCACTCTGACTTTATGGTTTATGGCTGTTAGCTGTATGCTAGCAGTTAGCATTTTTAGTTGACTGATTGTCAATAAAAAGCACAAGAAAAAAAAAGTCTGCCTCTTCATTTGGCACCAGGGCGGAGCCAGGAAGTATGGCCCCTGGTCTGCCGTTTATTCAGCTTTTAGCTTCGCCTCCAAAGACATTACTCTCTTACTTTTACTTCTTGTTTATTGTTACTTTAAAATATCGGTGGGGGGGGGGGGGTGTTAAAATTGATAATTTCTGCTTAGGTTTTTGTCAGCATTTTTATTCAGTCATCTTGATAAAGATTTGCTCTCAAACACCCAAAGGTTTTTTTTAATATAAAGTCAGACTAGTTTAGTACATAAAACATTGTTCTTGTGTTTTATTAGTCCTCTCAGTGATACTGCACTAAATGTAGACTTTTAGATTAGACAGTTAATATAAACACAGAAAACCTTTTGAATCTTTTGCAGAAAAGTCATAAAACTGCTTCGTCGGGTCTCACAGAGCTGATTCCTTTTCTGCGATGACCTTTTAACATTCTTTACACAATTTTTGGGTTTTTTCTTCTAAATGTGGGTGCTTTGGAGAAAAAAAAAGAAATAGTCTCATTTAATTGCAGGGATTTTAACTGAGACGACAAGCAAGTGCTGCTGATATGTATATTTTTTTCTAAACACTTGTGAACTTTTATTTTTAAGAATGCATTAAACACTTGATGCAAAATGGTCACTGCAGTGGACAGGTACTCAAAATTGTTATTTATTTATTTAGCTATTAAGCACAGCTGTTGAAGACTTTATTGCATTTGAGCCCCTCCATTTGGACTTCAGTAAGTCAAGCCAACATATTTCGTGTTCAGAATGCACGCTGTCCACTGAGGTGGACATGTAATAAATTATTTGTAAATAATAAAATGCTACAAAAATATTTGTTGAAATTTGTTTCATTCACACTTAAAGATGAATGAAAAAAACTGTTTAAAAATCATGGTTGAATATTTTATAATTCATGCAACAAAGATTAAAGTTAAAACCATAATGTAAAAATGTTAAAAAATTCAGATATTTAAACAAATTTACATCCTAACTCATAATAGAAGGAGGACAGTTTATGGAACTGATGAAATATTAATAAATAGATGGAAAATCTGCAGAGATGTACAACAACTGGAGACAAGGAAATGTAGATTACATTTATTCTGACACTTCCGTGCATCTCTTGCACATTTTCTCCACTTTACTGCTGATACTGATGCTTTTACGGTTATCTGATTCTTTGAGCACTCCTTTTAAAATCTCTGCTGGTACACTTTATTTTATTTACTGGTTTTGAACAACCCAGTTTGACTTCTGCCTGCCTGCACAGTCCGCATGTTGGCGCAGCAACATCTATTTATGGCTCCTACACATCCCGAGTATATGAAATTACTGCCTTTTAAGTCAGCTAACAAGTAAATGGTGGCTTTCTATATTCCAGAGGCCTATTTGGCTGCAGTCTGGTGATTATTAGGTTTGACTGCAGAATTAAACAGCATGACTTCCTAACCAGTTACTGAAAAAAAGTCATGAGCTGAACCAAACAAGAAAAGTGACCTTTGGTGACCCGTGTCCTACATTTTCCCAGTGTTCCTGAACATCCCACACATTACTGAGGAACAGTAGGTGTCATATGATCCCTCAGCTAGTTAAAACTCCAGCAGCTGCTACCAAGCTCCCAGACTTCTACGGCCCGGTGTTTAGTCATTAAACCCGTAACGTGAATGGTGTCTTATGACAACAACTGAAAACTCCTCTGTGGTGTTAACACGCTGTTTGAGGGGTTCCTGAAACTGTTAGCCCCCTAACCTTGATGAGATCCAGAGGATGCGTACAGCAGGCGGCTCCACAGGAAGCCAGCCCCCCGAAATACCACCGCGACATCCGCTTCTCCGTCATGACGATAGCGCTTCAGCTCAGCCGTAGACCCGCGACGCGTCCTTGTTCCCTCCTCCTGTCCCGCCGCGGCACGCTGTCCGTCTGCTGTGTTGGGCCGGTGTCTTGTCCCCCAGAGCTCCCAGCTACTGCTGCGGTCTACAGAACCTCTTTAGTCTTCAAACATTCCGATAAAGAAGAGCGGGGACTTTGATCTTCGTCGGTAACGAGCACTCTCACGCCTCATGCATAACGTGCGCGTGACAGGTCGGTGTGCTAGAGCAGGAAGACGCAGCTGTGCATAATGTAGAGCCGGTTGTTACCGTGGACGCCGGCGGGAGCTGCCTGGCCACGTGTGAAGGTAGCAAACGTAGTATGACAATGCAAAAAAAAAAAAAAAAAATGTCAGCACAGAAGGAACTGGCATTCTGCCTCAGCTTATCCAACTGTCATGTGGCTTTAAAGCGACACGCATCCGCCGCGGTGTGGCGGGCATGTGGACACGGAGCCTGTCCCTTTAAGAGAACAACTGATCTCGTGAGAATCGATGGTGAGAACAGAGAGCAGTAGAGAAGAGTCAGCTCTTATGGAGGCAAGCTGATGAATTGTACTTTTATTCACCTCCAGTTTCGGTGTCGGTACAGTATCTGCTCGGGTGCAAGATCGGCTCGGGGTCCTTCGACTCCCGATGACGTCAAAGTACGGCAAACCGACTCGGACAAAATGCACTACACATCTATACTGTTGGAAAGAATTTAGCACTTTCGTTATTAAAATAATGTTTCTTAAGACATAAGTTTGTGTTTATAATGGTATTTGTAAAATAAAACACTATTTCTTATATATCTTATTCATAATGTTGAACTCCTCTTTGAGCACATCCCTTGGCTTGAAGAATCATAGGTATTAGCAACACCTGTGAAATTGTATTTGCAGGAAAGAAGTGTGTCCCGTTTATTTAAGTATTTTGTGTTTAGAGTTGTTGACGTCTTGTCATAGACTGTAGCTGCTAGCCAAAACTCTGGAGTTAAAAGTTTTCTGGCTTTACTAAAAAACCTGTCTGTACTTATTTGATTGATGGTATTTTTACTTTCTATTAGACTCCAAATGTAATCATTTGGCACGTTTGTAATTCATAATTTGCAATAATGTAATCGGCGATATTAGCATTAGCATTTCTATGGGTTTTTCCATGTATATTAGCATTGCGCTCACCACTCGCTGCCAAATTGCAGCCTTTGAGATTAGAAAATCTCCTGGCTTTACTAAAATACCTGTCTGTACTTATTTGATTGATTGTATTTTTACTTTCTTTAAGACTCCAAATGTAATCATTTGGCACGTTTCTAATTCATAATTTGTAATAATGTAATCGGCGATATTAGCATTAGCATTCCTATGGGTTTTTCCATGTATATTAGCATTACGCTAACCACTCGCTGCCAAATTGAAGCCTTTGAGATTAGAAAATCTCCTTTTGTCACATCGCAATTTAATTGCACATGCAGTTAATCGTTCAGCCCTAATATACATGCAGCTCTATGCTAAAAGTGTATTTTCAAAGAGGTAATGATGGATTTCTTTGTAAAAGTTGTCCATCTTTCCAATAGAAAGATTTGCCTGGACCAACGTAACGTGATAACAACGTAACGTGATTACGTATTTCCGTAAGGTTCATGTTCAGCCAATCAACTACTTAGACGTCATCGGCAGTCGACGGACCCCGAGCCGATCTTGCACCCGAGCAGATCCTGTACCGACAGCGGACTTGGGAGGGTGGGAGAAGAAGGGCGAAAATGTTTTAAAGGTGTGGAACACTGAAAACGCATTAATTATAATTATAATAGTAAGGTTGAACATGAAAATAGTCTTCTAACCATATTTCCTGCATTATCTGGTGAAAAATAGATGGTTCTAAGAGTTGAAAAGTATGACAAATCTACGTCACACTGTCACTTAACATTGGCCGTGTACCTTCTGAGGAGATTCGATCACTGGTGATCGGCACGCAGTGCATGCCGGTTAGATTTGTGTCCGACTTAACGCTGACTTGCTCCGACGTCACGCCTACAGTAGGCAACGATAACCTCGTGAGATCATGGCGCTGCAGTTGCTCTCCACCGGCTGCAAAACCTAGGGCCTGATGGAAAACGCCTGGCTCTCACCTGATCTAAGATCTGATAGGAACCAGAATTTTACACTATTATGAATGCTAATGCGATAACTTCAGCCATCGTCACCCACAAGCTACATGTAGGGAAATCTGTCCGACATAAACGCCCGTCTGCTCTCGTCTCTTTTCTAGGCGAGGTGCTTCTCATCTCGAACAAGGCCATTAATGGACTGATTCATTCTTATTAGCAACTGGGAAGGCTGTTTAGCGTCCAGGAAACAGCAGAGGACGTCTCAACTAGCAGAAGCTAACATTAGCATTAGCAGCTCCTTGATGTAGCAGAACTCCTTCTGTGGTGGTGGTGGGGGGTGCTCTTATCCAATCTGAGGCAAGATGTCCAAATATCAAGAAATAAGACAAAATTCTGTCTTCTAAACTTATTTTGGCCCAGTCGCAATACTTGCACTGCACCCTACGGTCTTCAGCTAACTTTGAGGAAGTGTGCAGTAAAGTGCGTATTACACAAGTGAGCAAATAATTGCCAAATTGGGGCAGCGAGCATTGCATCATCAACCACAACACATGGCAGGATGCTGGTCTTTATTTTGCTGCTTAATAAAAAAAATTCTATTTTCAAACTAAACAATTTTTGGGACTAAATTTACATTCATCGCTGTCCACATAAAATCTCAGTCTTGAATATTCTGAGCATGGATAAATATTGCTGATCGTCTTAAAATGACTTTCTTTCACTTATGAAATGATAAAAATCTGGTTCTAATATTGAAGAATTGAATTTCCATAAACATTCCAAATATTTCTTTTATCCTGACCAGAAGAGGAAATAATTTTTTAATTAATAAACATTTTATTGCTGACTCTGCAGTCTGTAAAATACTGAATGATATTAAAACAAGAGATTAAATTACTATCGTGTCCAAAGACAAACACACACCAGCAGCATTGTCGGTTAAAAACATTTTTAAACAGACATTTGATGTATCTTTTCAACAGAGAAGCATGTGATTTTAATCATACATGCACAATAAAATACTAAATACCTCCATAATTATCCTTGAAAATACATATGTTCAGAAAGGGCCATTGCTCCGCTTTCTCACAATTCCCACATAGCAATGGATTGTTGGTACCCTTCGCTGAAGTCCACATCGATGCGGACATCGGTGAAGTGTGCATTAAGGGTGCAAAGGGGGTGTGGTCAGCTTCCCATTTGAGAATCAATCAGGACACCCTATGACCAGGATGGGAACATGCAATTAAGGGGTGCAAGGGTGGTGTGAATATTGGGACAGGGCCTTTCTCCTCCAGTTGACTTGAAGTAAACCACAGTAATAGAAGCTAAGAGTTGAAAGCACTATTTGTTAAGAAAAACTTCTTGTCTCTAAACTGAACTTGACTGTTCAACGTGATTAAAACTTTCAATGAAAGCCAGCCAGTTGAGGTGGCTCGGGCATCTGGTCAGGATGCCTCCTGGACGCCTCCCTGGTGAGGTTTTCTGGGCACGTCCAACCGGGAGGAGGCCTAAAGGTAGACCCAGGACACGTTGGAGGGACTACGTCTCTCACCTGGCCAGGGAACGCCTTGGGATTTCCCCGGAAGAGCTGGCCCAAGTGGCTGGGGAAAGGGAAGTCTGGGCCTCTCGACTTAGGCTACTGCCCCCGCAACCTCACTCCGGATAAGCGGATGAAAATGAATGGATGGATGGATGGATGAAAGGTGGTGTTGGCAACATGTTATTTAAACAAAAAACACATTGCATGCTTTTGTTCAACTACCTTTACTAAAAAAATTCAATGAGATGGAATCACAAAAAGCCATAAATCGTTGTTTAGACTTGAAATATTGTTCCATTCCAGCTGAGGGTAGAGCATGGTTAAGTAAATGATTCATTCGTGAGTGGAAGGCTATACAGTGTAGAAGAGAAACTGGTTTAAACATGTCGTTTTAATGCCTCATACACTCAAAAATACATCTGTGCCTTTTTTTGTGTGTTTTGTTTTGTTTTTGCAGAGTTAACAAAGATGCTCAGTAATTGTGGAAACTGTTCAGCATTAATTCATATTTGTATTTTTTATTCAACTCCTTGGGGGGGAAAAATGCTTTAAATCCAATTAAAACATCTGGCATGTTTGACACGCTGTCAAAAATAAAAATGGGATGACATGCAGTTAAAAGGCATTCACTGCTTGAAGCATGCTGCGGGACTTTAGTCAGACAGCAAAATAGTTTTATTTTGAAACGTATTGACATGCATTTTTATCGAAATCAACTTTAGCTGAATTGTTATATTTCTGTAAAACACACTACATTTTAAAATGCTTAAAGACATTTTTGTAGTTTCTTACAGATATGAGCCTCTCTAAAAGCAACGTTTTCAGTTCACTGAAAACTAAATTTTTATGTTTAACAAGAATTTTGTTTAGCATGAATTTTAAGGGTCAAGAAAAATAAAGAGCGTTAAAATGTATAAAACTAATGTTAGCTTTGCTTTTTGTACTTTTTAATTTTTTCCTCAAAGCAAATCAATCTGTAGTTTCTGGTTTGTCGACAACTTGAAGGAAGTTTAAAAACTTTAGATTAGTGAGTACTTACTGCCCCCTAGTGTAAAAAAAGATGTGTTTACTGCCATTGACATCAAAATCAATTCTTATTCTGTCAAGCCCGCGTCTTTTTTTCTTTTAACGATTTTTCAATATTTTCTATATGAAAATATTTCAGAAAATAACCAAAAAAACGTAAAAC